AGACATGAAAAACGCAAGTTAAATTTTCGTCAATTAGTTTAGCAGAATTAGAAGATATAAAACTGTCCTTTTCTTTGTGTGCAGGGTGTATATCTGTTTCGGATATTTGTTTGGAGTCTTCTGTCCGCATAAGAAGTAATAATTCACAGTTTTTCACTCCTCCATTATAATGTTGCTTTCTCTGCACTAAGAAATTTTAATACTGTTACGGATTTGGCATTTAAATAGTTAATGTTAGTAGAATTATAAATTAAATTGTTTTACTCCCAGTGCAATGCAGCGCGTGACGAATATTATGAGAAAGCAAAGCCGGAAAAATTAAAAATACAAGAGCACGTGCATTTAACATTTGATAAATAAATATCTCTTTTTGATTTCGAGAAATTTCCAGAAAATTCTCGCACGAGATTTAAAATCTTATAAAAAGGAGGAAAACCTCTCAGTTCAGTAGTTAGTTTGTTGTTGTTTTAAGAGTTTGTTTAGAAAACTGCTCTTGTTGACTGTAGCGAATTCGCGTATTAGCTTTCTTTAGCTGTTTTTAATTAAGTTCTGTTGAACGTTTGAGTAGTTAAGATAACTACTGTGAGATATTGTAATCCTGCACGAATATCTGAGAAATTTAAGTATTTTGTTTTATTTATTTGTGATAATAATAAATCTTATTCATTTTTCATCGGACTTGTGCATTCAATTCCTAACGAACCCGTACGCACGCAACAATTTTTGGGAAAAAAACCTTAAACCTGGGATTTGAATACCAATTACTAGAGCGATGAAAGAAGAATTGAGCAGCTAATTACGGCTTTTGCTACATTCCAAGAAAAGATGGAAGCTGTCCAAGCATCATTTAAAGAAGAGATGAAAGATTCTGTTAAAGATGAGATGAAATCCGTTAATGAGTCGAGATGAAAGCAGGTTACGAGGAAATGAAAAGAGAAATAACCTGCATAATAGAAAATAAATTCGAGGCTATGGAAGACAGAATAGGAAGCTGTTGAAAATAAAGGTCAGACAAATTAAAGAAAAGGTTTTTTCTGTCAAAGATCAAATAGAAGAAAGAGTATCGGCTGTGAGCGACGAGTCGAAGGAAGAGTTTCGGCCGTCCAGCAACAAATCGAACAACAAATTGAGGAAAGTGTTTCTGCTGCTGTTGCCAGAAAAGTTGATGCCTTAAAGAAATTTGTAGCGACGGCAGGGAGCAATAGTTATGGTTTTAAATTCTTACCGATGGCTGTTCGTCCATGTCTGAAACTATCCACATATGATGGGAAGACATCCTGGCAAGTGTATAAGACCCAATTTTCTATAGTTGCGGATGCGAATGGATGGAATTCCCAAATTAAGGCCTGTCATCTCGCCGCTTCTCTGAGAGCAGACGCAGCGGATATCCTGTAGACGCTTCCCGAAAGCCAGAGACTAGACTTTGAAGCTCTATCAGGCGCTTTGGGGAAACGTGTTTGAAAGACTACAGCAGGCTTCAACTAAAATCCCACTTTTGACACCAAAAATTGTTGCGTGCGTACGGGTTCGTTAGGAATTGAATGCACAAGTCCGATGAAAAATTAATAAGATTTATTATTATTACAAATAAATAAAACAAAATACTTAAATTTTCTCAGATATTCGTACAGTATTACAATATCTCACAGTAGTTATCTTAACTACTCAAACGTTCAACAGAACTTTCAAAACAGCTAAAGAAAGCTAATACGCGAATTCGCTACAGTCAACAAGAGCAGTTTTCTAAACAAACTCTTAAAACAACAACAAATTAACTACTGAACTGAGAGGTTTTCCTCCTTTTTATAAGATTTTAAATCTCGCGCGAGAATTTTTTGGAAATTTCTCGAAATCAAAAAGAGATATTTATTTATTAAATGTTAAATGCACGTACTCTTGTATTTTTAATTTGTCCGGCTTTGCTTTCTCATAATATTCGTCACGCGCTGCATTGCGCAGGGAATAAAACAATTTAATTTATAATTCTACTAACATTAACTATTTAAATACCAAATTCGTAACAATATCATACATTTCACAACGTGTTTGAATGACGGGTAAGAAATATTTTTCCTCGTAAAGTGCGAAACATATCTTCAATCCACGGCTTGCTTACATGCGACATTTTGAAAGAAGAATAAACGTAAAAGTAACAGATGATATTTCTCATTTCAAATAATAAGCTGTTGCTAGAAACCTTTATTCCAAAACGTTTGCTTTTGCTTTTAATTCTTTAACGAAATCGTTCTAAAAATATGTAAACACCCTTTGCCACCTCGCCTCATAATGGCATATTTGCTGTCACTGTTGGATTTAAATATTTCTTTTCGTTGTTAACATTTGCAACTACAAACTATTCGGCGCAAAAGGTACGCCTGTTCTTGAACAGATACACAGGAACCCTTAAAATTCTGACATGTAATTATGAAGACTGACCAAGCAGCAAGCTACTCAGCAAAGAAGCAGGAAGCGAAATGCAACTTGTCCAGGATAAAAATTTGTCAAAAAAACTGGTTTTTACTTCATTTCGATCGGCTAGTTGAATTTCAGAGGGCAAAACTATCTGCGCCATTGACATTATTTAAGAATTATATGATATGAAATAATTTAGAAATGATGCAGTTTAAAGAGATTCGTTATAAGGTTGTTAAGATGGAAAGGGGAAATAGCCAAATTAAAATGAATCGAAGAGGTTATTGGAAATAAAAGATAGACTTTTGATTTACATTTTTCTTATATATCCCGAAGGTCATAAAAAATGTTTTGAAATTTATGAACTCCTACCCGCCTTTCCGCTTAATCAATTAAAATGAAATTTCAGGTATTGTTATTTGAAAGTATGCGCTCGAGATTACGTTAATTTAAGACGCCACGATTACAATGCTGGCGGAAAGGGCAGCTTCCTACCTGAGGCTTTTGCCAAACGGAATTACATGCCGCCCCAACAAACTTACAATCTATCATGTGACGACCCCATAGAGCAAGGGCAGACAAGGCAGTACCCGTACGGTCCCTGCCTAGCCTTACTCTGTCCTGAGAGCCCTCAGGCTTTCTGTGAAGTCTGTTTTTATACCCCCGTGGTTGACACTGCCTAGGTACAGATCCTAACCAGTACTTCCCAGGCGTTCGCCTGAATCAAACTCTGGGGGGAGGGAGGCGCCAAGATAACCGTGAAAAAAAAATTCGAAATTTTTTAATGGCAACACCCACTTTTTTCCAGCGCAAATTGGTCAGCGGATTGAAAAACATAAATGGCGTTGAAACGGTACACGTAGGAAGAAAGTTGCAGAGGGAAAGCATTTGTTAAGAAAAGCATTGAAAGGACCAATGACAACACATGACAGGAGAATGAATTTTTTTAAGTACAATTTTTCAGCTTGCACAACGTTTCAAGATAGCGTCATCTCCCATAAGTGCGGTTTCGTGACCACCGCAGCTCTCCGACCCCACTCCCATAGATTTTTGCTTCTGGGGATATTTGTAATTTAAGGCGAATACATCAAATTTACGAAAATTGTCAGACCTGAAAGATGGCATAAAACGTGAGGTTATAGAGATTCCTCTTGCAGTATAAGGTTCGTTATATTTCTCAACAATCTCCCGCAGGCAATGCATTATCGTCTGCGAAGGTGCGCATGTTGAAAACTTATAATTTGAATACAAGTTCTTTTACCTGTATTTACATGTCATTGGTCTTCTACAATGCTCTTCTTTGCAAATGTTTTTCGCCTGCAAATTTCGTCACATGTGTATCGTTCCATCGACATTTATGGTTTTTTAGGAAGCTGTATTGAATATTTTCATTGTAACCATAATGGAGGGAACTGTATTTTTTTTAATCATCACAATCTCGAGCACATTCTTTCAAATAACAATATCTGAAATTTCATTTCAGTTGGTAGAGCGGATATGCCGCAAAGGGTTCAGGTCAGAGAATTTTTTTTTTAACCATACTTTATATATATGTGTGTGTGTGTATGTATGTTTCATATGTATTTCATATGTATGTATGTATGTTCAATTTATGTATGTTTGAATTAATTTCAGCTGTATACTGCACGAAAAATGATTGAGATAATTTTGTTTAAAAATAAAAATATTTTGATACTGTTACATATATATATATATATATATATATATATAGGGCTTCAGGAAAAAATTCTACGATTACAAAATTTAATATTTTCCATACATACAAGCAGAAAATTATAATTAATATGTAATTGTAAAGGACAAGAAAGTACCATACAAATAAAGCGCTGAAATCTTAGAATATCAAAAGGTGGTACAGTTCCAGGAAACTAGATGCCTGTGTAAAGGCAAAAGTCTAGGGCAACTAGGTTTCAGCAGAGAATGCTGATAGAGTGTGAGAGACCGTTTTATGTAGTCCGAAGAAATCGATGGTGCAAAAAGATGGTGCTTTGCCCCATTAGTATTTGGAGGTTCGTAAATTTCTAAATAGAGAACTACCACACCATTGGATTGTCGCAGTGCATCCGATGATTCGGTCTTACATATCCACCCTCCTAGGTCGCCTTGTAACTTATATCTTTGGCAATATAATCAAAGATCTTGTGTTCATACCACCTATACCTACAAATTTGTTCGAATTTAAACAACGTATTTGTGAATCTTTAAGAACAGTTAATAGGAAACATTACAACGTGTTTGGCAAGAAATGCCATATCGCGTTAATAAGATTAGGGTGACTAAAGAAAGTCATACCGAATACTGGTGGGAATAAAACTTAGCATTTTTCCTTTACAATTGTATATTATTTATAATTCTCTGTCTGTAAATACGGAAATCATTACATTTTGTTACCGGATGATTCTTCCCTGATAACCCTGTATAACTGAATTATGTACAAATACTAAGTTATATATTTATATAACAACTTCTTCAAGTACAAGATAATCTGAACTTATGAAAATAGCAGAAGTTAACACGAAATTATATTTTCTTTTATTATTTACTGACTTATATGCATTTTTTGTTAGCGCCTTCGAATTTCGATCACCTTTTCTTGCAATAGCTGATCCTGAGCTCGCGAAAGAAATACTGGTGAAAGACTTTCATCTTTTCCCAAACAGAAGGGTAATATGACCTTAATAATTATTGTGTTCTTTATTTTTTATATTTATGCTATTATTGTTTTTTTGATTGGTCTTGGTTTACCCGATGCCAGATTAAGCCGAAAAATTCACTTAAGTACTTCCACAGTTCCACAAAGATGAAAAATTAGTTAATAATCTTAACTTGCGTAAAAGTGCATGTGTTCAGAAGAAAATTCTTATGTATCCTGGACAAATTAGAAAAAAAGGCTTATTTATGAATTCAAGCTTGATCTTCGGTTATCCAAAATGCATTCGTTATCGTTAATTTAGGAAAAACCACAAAATGCTGATTACTCAAAAAGTTACATGTAGACTTTAATGAAACTAACGTATAGTTCCATTAAAGTCTGTGCAACAGCATATATATAGTAGGATATAAAATAATATGAAAAGAAATTAACAGACAATAACGGTGTTATAGAAATTAGCATATGTATAAAATGAACAAACTGGATGTGTGAGTTCGGTATAGGAAAATTGCCTTCAGTATGATGTATAATATCCCCTAAAAGCAATTTAACACATACAGCGATGTGTGTTGCTGTCAATTATAAGGTCTATTAGTTTAATAGAACGTGAGAGCGATTGTTCTTGCAAAGCAGTTGCAAGCGTGCCAAGAGTCTGAAGAGGAGAATTGAGAGTAGCTATACATCTTCCTAAAGCATCCCAAACATGCTCGACAGGTCTCAGGTATGGTGATCGAGCTGGACACTCCATGCGCTAAATTGTTTGCTGCTGAAGAAAATCATCCCTGTGCAGTCTACCTTTGTTGCCTCCAACAGGAAATTATCACATATTACCCCGGCATAAGGGAACACATAAACTTCAAGGATGTCATCTCTCTAAGTCTGAGCATTCACGGTTCCAGGTGGAAAGACAGGGAGGTCTGCGCATCCACTGAATGAACGAGATACCACCCCAAACACAGGTACTGTCTCCTCGTATGCATCTCTTTCAAGGGTGCTTGATGGATGATAACGGGTTTCAGGCTCTTTCAAATCAAATAACGTCTACTATCAATTTCGAGGCTAAACCTCGAATCATCAGTAAAGAGAACAGAACTCCTTCATCAGCAGGATATGTTAGCGGGCCCACCTCAAACGTTCCCTTCTATGAGTGGCATGCAAATGGCTGGTTGCCTCACGTACAGTTGAAGTTGATATCAAATCTTCTGGTGGCTGCAACAAGAAAGGATATGAGTTGAGTCGGAGATGCGGTTCTATTTCTTCTTGAGCATAACAACAAATACAGTTCATCGGCGCTTCTCGTAGTGGTTCGCCGTCCTTGGCTGAGCCTTCTTGGATGCCGAATCATTGTTTAGAAATTATTGCCAAAGTCAATGAACCACAGAAGAACTCACATTTAGCCATCTGGTAATTTTCGTCTACTTTGTCCTACCTCTGGTCTCCCAATAGCTCTCCATCGCAGTTCTTTAAGCAAATGATGCCTGGATGTCATTGTTACGAATTGGTTATCCCAGATTCCGTATCTCAGTACCACAACGAAATTTCTAGGCTACCTCTCAAGCATGCAATTTTATGCTCCTAGCAGATGTCGCATTCCGATTGCAGCACTACTAAGTTTGCATACTGCAGTTTTATTCCGCAACACTTATTTCAAAACATATTCAAACTGTATATTGGCTTATTTTTTAACTAGTTATCGTTATTTTTGTGATGTTTCCTTAATTTTTGGAAACCAGTGTACGTCCAGTGGTTTCTGATATTTGAGTTTTATAATATCTAATTTTATGTGCATATTATATATGTGCATTTTTCCGTCATTGCTATTTTTTGCAAAATTGCTTTAAGTTTGTGTAGCAAATGTCCTTGAATTTGCTTCTAAAAGCTTTAAAACTGCCATTTTCCTCTGAAAACTCTCCCGTAATTACTTTTTAGAAATAGGATAAAGAGAAAACATCCAAGGACCTAGCCACATTTGTAATACAATGCAGTTGATGCTCATTATGTTGTCATTGATGACTGGACACCCATATAAAATGCATTAATTAGAGCTGGTATAGAGCCAGAATGACGCAGGTCTCCTATCCGCCGCTGTCACAGCCTACTCTTCGAGGAAGACGTTTTACTAAATTGCGATGGAATCTGCTAGCAACATTTTCTATTTCTCCTGTAAAATGATGAACAGTGCTATAACGACTTTGATTTACCTCTCATTTGATGTCCTAACTCATCGAAAGACGTTTCATTTGGTTGATATCAGGAGTTCGTGCTGGCCAATCAAGCAAAGATAAAGTGGAGCAAGATTAAACTAAACCTCGCTCATGATACAATACTTTCGACAACAAATTTCACGGAAAAGAAAGGTGCAGTCTAATTAATTCTCATCTAGCGTTCTCAAGGTATATACGCTTCTACTAGAATTTCCAATCACGTAACATAATTCGATACTCTATATTCCATTAATTTAGGATATACAGTCGCTATGTTTTGCACCTTTGAAATCAATATTGAGTGTTCATTTAAATTATCATTGGCTATGTGTTGAATTCACATACTACAGTGACGAATGGTATGAACATTAGCTTCATTTTCAGATGCAAATGGAAAGTCTGTGACCACGGTTTTCTTATGTAGCTTCAGGGTTAGTAAAATGTTGTTGATTTCATGACGGGCAAATCGAGAAAAAAGGGGTTGAGCAATAAGGGGCAGCCGCCAGTAAACCTTAAACAATTGGATTTTTAATAAAGGATCTTTTCGCTGTCTGTGTCTGTTGCAGAGAGAGAGAGAGAATGCTCTTTGTTCCCTTGATGAGATAAGTGATCTTTGGAAGGTCCCGTCTTGGGACAGGCCGGAGTGCTTTGAAAAAAGAAATCTTACGTGTGAATGGTCCGAAAGTCTGGAAGGGATGGTTAAAATTTATTTCGATGTAGGAGGTAAACGTATTCGGCAGCTTTGGAAAGGAAAAAAGGCTTACTTTGGGACACTGTGCCGTTTATTGTTTAAATGATCCTTCGCCTTTACTGCAAATAAAATGATAGACAAACTTTTACTAGACTATTATTTTCTTGAGATACATTTTGTTGGGGAGTGAAACTATCTCGGCGAATTCTCACGGAGAATGATTTGAGAAAAAATGCGCTGTCACCTTCCTTGGGGCGCAGTAGAAAAATATATGCGGCGCCTAATTTTAATTGCTACGTGGTTGTAATTTCTGAAGTGATTAAGATTGACCAATTAAGTTCAAATGAGGTGCAGTTGTTTCAGAAGATGACAATTAATAATTAAATAAGAATCTAAATAGGAATTTGCCGAAAGGGGTGCTTTTCTGGCTTTTGGCCTTTTGCTTTGAGTTGGATGAAGAGAATATCGGCTTCTGGCTCTGAATCATGATGTGCAGTGATCCAGGTGTTGCGCTTCTGTTCACAAAGTATAATACAAAGACTGTTTCGGACTGATAATTAGCTAAGGTCTCAAAATATCGGCTTCGAGCTATTATGAAATGGAAAGATCCAGGCGAATGTTCCTGTTTACGAAATATAATAGGGAGACTGTTCCGAACCGATATTTAGAGTGATTGGAGAAGACGACTGCATTCTACGGACAAAAAGAACAAGTGTAAAGGAAAGGTTACGCAAATTCGTTGTGTGTCAGAAGGTTGTCCTTTAGCCTCATGTTTTCCCTCCAAGGAATCTTGAAGTCGTCTCATGTAAGTACTCTTGATCTCTTCTTCACATGTGGGGATGATTGGGTAAAACAAAGTTTTAATATTTAAATATTATTGGGGTGTTTAGTTACAATATTAGGTAAAGCCTTTATTTGTATTTTTTGCAAATTTAATATGATAATGTGCTACTAAAGCATTTGTATAAAAATTAATATTTGTTATCTATATTTCTATGTTTATCTGCCTACGACAGCTCAATTAAAGAATTTTAAATAGTGGAGCCTGGGTTAGAAGTGTTTGTGGCTGTACATGATTGATAAATTTCTCTAAAGTAATAAATAAAATATGTAATAGTTTATCAGGTTTGGGTACTTAATTATTGCACCACTTTTATAAATTCTTCTGGGCAAAATTTTTTTTAATGAATCTTTTTGGTTTGACGTCCTCACACACTGGAAGCATCGCAGTAGGTATCCGTCAATTTGTTTGGCTTCTCTTGCCGGGGTTGAAGTATTAAAACGCCTTCAAATTTCCATTTCGCCACTACATTGCTCACTGTTGCGTGTTGTATATGAAATCTTTCAGGAGTCTGCCAGTGTGCAACAGTGAATAATTAATTAACCACTACATTACTTAGTGTTGCGCATGGTTTCTGGAATTTGTCAGAAGTGTGACTGAATTAGTGGGTGCTGATAATCATACTCACGGCTTCAGTCATACTTACAGCTTTAAAACTGTGTCATTACGATAGCAGTAGCTAGTATGCATTTCTGTTGAACGCTGATAGTGTTTGTATAGGCTCACGAAATGTATAGGCTATTCTACTTCCCTTTCATGGGTCTTCGGTCATTGATAGGAATATAGTGTACTTATTTTGCTACTTTCCTACATAATCTTACATAATTCTGAAAATATATGGCTTCATGTTATTTTTAATTGATAAAAGAAACATTTTTGAGCATATAATTCTTGATTAGTATTTAAGATACTAATGTTGGCGATGGTGCAGTACTCTAATAGTATACATCTAATCAGTTATATATGAACTGTATATCTAAATCAGTTAAAGCAGTACTCTATATCTATATTCTATAACGTGTAGTATAATAGTAATCTATATGTAATCAGTTAAGGTAGTAAAACCACTTTAGCTGGTTAGAAGCAGTCGAAAGGTCATATTCAGAATTTTTATCTCATGGAAAACATGAACAGTATTCTACTGCATAATCTGTACATGCTGAGTTAAAGGATTTAGTAATTTTTATATCAGTTACTTCCAGATGGTAGCATATATAAAAGTGAGTATTATTTATACACAAATATTGAATATTTTTAAAGCAAGTTGTGTTTTAAATTGAAACATAAGTATAGCTTTTGTACACTGCGCTGTGAATGCTGAACAAGATTCTCTGAGTCAAAGAATTTTGAAATTTCATTCATTCTGATAAATTCTGTCTTCAAACGAGCCTGCAGTTCGAAAAACAGAGTAGTTCTTTATTAAATAGCTTATGTAGTTTCCTTTTTTTTGTGTGTGAAAAGGTACTTACAAAAATTAAAAGATATGACAATAAAGTTTGATGAATAACGTCATAGATGGGATATACGTGGTACTGGAAGAACGACGAAGCGCGAAAAGAATATCCATATCTGTTTCATCATGTTCTGAACTCGGTGAAAGAATAGCCATCAGCAGTAATGTTGTCAGTAACGTTCTAGTGTTTAAAGGCACAACAATGGATGTAAAATAGAGCATCGAAAGATTTTAAAGTTCTGTTCAAAGCTTAGTAAATCCGAAGAAGAAAGTCATTAAATGCTGAAATAAGATTACTGAATTGGAGTCGTTTCTTTAAAGTTCATTTGTAAACGCTTTAAATATTTTCCGTATGGGCAGAATTTTACTGAAGCCGCAGTTTGAAGAGTGGGTCCACAAAGTCTCTTATTGACAAAAGTATTAAAAAACTTCAGAGGATATTATCCAGAAAGAGCAGCAATGAATGGTAACATTTATGAGAATGTTCAGGTATAGGTACAGGTATAAGTATGCAGGACACCAGAATTTTACCATAAGTTGTACAGGTGTAGTCCCAAGCTCTTACTGCTCAGCTCCGCCCGGGTTTCAGGAAGAACACCTCGGTGCGCGGCCCAAGGGAAGTTTCGTCTCAGCGTGTATTTTGAGTTTCCCTTTGCCGCATATACATATACATTATATACTAAAAAACCATCCATGCCTCACCCGAGGTTCCAACCGGGCCATTCGGTAAGGCAGTCAGCGTCACTAGCAATTATGTCGTCTGGAGCAGCGGTCCTCAACCCTTGGAGCTTCACGGACCACTACATATATAATTTTATATTTGGCGGACCACTAATATGAATTTAAAAAAGGTAAATACATTTATACAGTAATAATTTGCAAACTACGCATATTTCGTTCACATTGAAAAATTACATGAAAAGTACAAAAATCTTACCATCTTGTACAGAAAGCTTCACATTTCCATATCACTGAAACGAAACTTCACGAAAAGCAAGAACAAACCTGCAAACGCAAAGCAATGTCAATAAACTGATAGTGTTATGCCGCAAATTTTTAATTATTGTAAACATAATAATCATCGCTTATTCAGCGATAACGCCATCGATCAACAGTTTGACAAAACAAAAACCGAAACTTCCAGTGATGCAATTATAAACAAGAATGCAGATGGTTCTCATAAAAATTCATCAAGCTGCCTATTGCGGTTACAGCCGAAAACATCGCGGCAAAAACATCGCAGACGAAAATGTCGCGGAGAAAACAATGCAAGGCGAAAACGTCGTGCTACAAAACATCGTGGGAGAAAACATCGCAGTTCTAAAACATCGTGGTACAAAACATCGTCGTCGAAAATAAAGCGGTTCAAAAAGATCGCAGTTTAAAAACATCGTCGTTGAAAATATCGTGGTAAAAAATAAAGTACTACACAAATCATCGCATGACGATAAAACATCGCAGACATGCTTTTTTCAGGCATGCTTTAATAAGTGTAAATGGATATTCCCATAATGATTTGTGAGCGCAAGATGGAAAGAAGGATAATTTTTACTTTCATATTTTTTATTAATTAATAATTTTTGCTGAGAAAATAAAAAGGAAACTTAAGCATAAAAAATTAATGCAACTTATAGCACTTAATAGAATTTTAAAACCGACTAGTTAACTAACAAAGGCCATTAATAAAATCATTTTTATAAAGTTTTTTTACTGGTATATTTCATGAAAAGTATAATCTATAAGTTACATTTAATTTTCTATGCTTAAGTTTCCTTTACGTTTTCAGCAAAAATTTATTAGTTAATAAAATATGTGAAAGTAAAATTTATCCTTCTTTACACCTTGCGCTCACAAATCATTATGGGAATATCCATTTACACTTATTAAAGCATCCTGAAAAAAGCATGTCTGCGATGTTATCGTCATGCGATGATTTGTAGATACTTTATTTTTACCACGATATTTTCGACGACGATGTTTTAAACTGCGATGTTTTGAACCGCTTTATTTTCTACGACGATGTTTTGTACCACGATGTTTTAGAACTGCGATGTTTTCTCCCACGATGTTTTGTAGCACGACGTTTTCACCTTGCGTTGTTTTCTCCGCGACGTTTTCTTCCACGATGTTTTTGCCGCGATGTTATCGGCGGACACCGCCTATTGCATGGAGAAAAACTGTGTCTTCAACGACTACAGTAGCATATCTTTGTAATTCAAAAGGAAAGATGATTCCAGTACGCGCTATTATTGATAACAGCACCATATCCATGGATGCCAAATCTCACTTTTAAATGTCGCTACATACACCTGCAAAAGTAGCTAAAAAGTCGCTTAATTCAGAAGAATTTCGCTTAAAGTAGTAGCAAAAATTTAAAAAAAAAAAGTACAATCCATAATTCCATAATAGTTGTTGTTACTCGTCATTTTTAAAACTAAATCTTCATAAAAATATAAACAATGTCCCAATTTTTCTGCGGACCATCAAAAAATCTTCACGGACCACCGGTTGGCGACCGCTGGTCTGGAGGGATACAGCAATGTTCAGGGAAGTTTACCTCAAAGGAACATGTCGAAATGGTCTTTGTTTTTTCTGGTTGCAAATTTGCAGTCTCATTGGGTCTTGGCCGTGAAATAATTTGAGATCTACAGAGGAGTTTTAGCATCGATCATCAAACGCACTGACTAGTCCTGCTCCTGGAGACTTCATTCTATTCTCGCACCTGAAACAAGCCCTAAATGATAACTTTTTCGGATATTCCAGCCATTCAAAGTGTGGCAAATGTTCTACCTACAACACCGCAAAAGACATTGCCCACAGTTTTCAGGAACTGTTCAGGTGTTATCAGAAATGTACTGCAAATGAAATTTGCATGAAAGGCATATAAAAACGTTTTTCCTGATTTAGGTAAAAACCATTTATTTATGAACACATTCAGCGAACTTTATTGTCATATCTCGTATTTTTATATTTTATTAAAAATATCAGAGACTTGAGAAAACATGCCTATTATTAAATTCAATAGGACGATTTTTTTACGGGCGATCAGATGTTTGACAACATGGTTACAGCATTGAGAGGTGAAACCTGGAAAAGAGTAAGGACTATAATCACACCAGCTTTTACATCCAGGAAAATGAGGAAAGTAAGTTGTGTTTTATGAAATTTGAGTTAAAAATGAATACATGCTAATTTATAAACAAATATGATGTACTTTTAAGAGTTACCGTACAGTTTAACCTTTGCTTAGTTTTAGTTATAATGAATTATGTTTCTAAATTTAACCCTAGAACTCCTTTGAAAAACTTATGGGGATGGTAAAAATTCGTCTCCAAGACGAATTGCGCATAAGCGTGTTTAAAACCTATTTTAAAACTTTATTAAAATAAAAGTATGCTACCCGCAGATAATTTCAGGACTCTGGAACTTTAAGTTAGCAAGAAAGTGTCCTTTATTTATATTGTTGTTGCTTATGCTGACTTGTCTGACTTAGTCAGCCCAAACTCATGAAATGCTTTGTGGCAAGTAGCGCAAGATTGCGTCTGTCGTTAGCAACAGCCTTGAGCACCTAACAGTTGACAGTGAGATTTGTCTCTTTTGCCCCCAATTTTGATGGAGAGCACCCCGGGGGGACGGGTCCTAAGGTTTCTCACTCCTCTCCTCTTCCACCAGATCACACGAGGGAGCTTTCGGCTCGCCGCATATTTGGAGTGCCATCATGCCGCACTGACACTATACATTTACAAACATCCATGCCTTCTCCGGAATTCGAATCCGGGCCCTTCGGAACGGCCCTCAGCGATGCTAACCACTATACCGGTTGGGCGACTCATTTATTATTCTCAAATTCATTATTCTCAAAGCAGTCTTTACGCATACTAGCATGTTGTTCTCTGCGCATCATTCTGGAACATGTATGACAAACGTTGGGACTCATTGTACCGGTAAAATGCACAAATGTTTCTTTTTTACTGTCAGATTCTTCAGGAGGTTGAATGTTCAAATCTAATTTCGACAGTTCCCTTATAATTGCTCTTGTTGATGGAGGCAAAGTTGGTATGTTGTAACGCTTTTTCATCCATGGAGCAAGAACATCTTCACTTAGCTTTATTGCGAACTTTTTTCTCAATAATGTCTTTTCAGGTTTTTTATTACGCAATATATAACATGTGCGTTAATTAAACTGCTATTTATCATGCTGCAAAACGAAAAAAAAAAAGTCTTTCGGCGAGTTTTGTACTGCGTGACATATGGTTGCATATCTAATATCTGAATTGTCTTTGTTTTATTCGATTTGTTGTTGTTTCTAGCTTGCTCTGGTGCAGCCCGCAAAAAGGCCATGGGGAGACGTAAAGTCTGCCAGGAGGGTCGGAATGCGTCCCTCATATCATATCTGAGTCAACGTGTCTGCCGTCCCTTTTATGGCTCAGTCCCTTGGTTCTTTAAAAAACTGAATAATATTGCGAGATGCAGTACTTGTTTTGCTTGATTTAGGAACATATGACCTCTTATCTTTACCTTTGAGCTGAATTTTACATATTAGATTTTTCATGACTGAAAAAATTTCAGAATTTTTCAACTTTTTAAGCATTTTCCTTTTTAGCTCTATATTTCAAATTAATATTTTCATCTTTCTGGGTTTGTTTTACAAGTATTGTTTCTTCTTCATCTTAATTATCAAAAGATAAATTCCTCGTTTTCATCTGTGTCGCTGTCTGTGAATTCGTGATTTTTAACCTCATCAAAATCATCCTTATCCGATTCATCCTAAGAAATAAAAATTTCTTCATCACTCTCGGATAGCCTCAGGTCTACCCCAAACATTTTCTCTGAGAAATCTTTTTGACGCCTTTAAGGCAACAGCTAAGTCGGAAGAACCAAAGTCGGGTTCTGAAATGAAACGTTACAGCTAACCATTCGTCTGTAAACCGAATATTGTTCTAAAAATGCTACATACGAAAATTTTTTGATAGAAGGAATGTCCTGATCTGTAGCATCCAAGATCATATAAAGGTACTGAGTCGCACTTCCCGATTCCTGTTGTAGGAAAGGCAGGGCAAGGTTATTTGTTATGGGCTTCGTGCAGGAGACGAATGGGTAGCATTCTAGGGTTAAACAGTAAGATACAGTTTTTTTTTGTAGAGTTATTTACACTTTTCCGAAGCAAGAAAATCGAAGAAATCCGCAACACCTCTCCGGGATTCGAACTCCACATTTTCCGAATACGCGTCGAGCGTGCTTCCAGTTCACGAAAGAACTCCGTGACGAGTTTGCGTGAAACCTATCAAAGACAAGTTCCAACCAGCAGCGGTAGCCATTTCTCAAGCAACGGTAGTCATTTCTGCGGGCAGGGCCGCAGACCTAACGTTGCGAAGGAACGGCGGGTTGAATACCGTTCGTAAAAGCCAAAAACACGAGATAAATACGAAGGAACTCGGAAAAGAGATAGAAAATACCTTAGATACTGCCCTTTTTTCTAAAAGCGCGATTGGGGATGCAGTCGCCAATTCTTGGTAATGACGAATTACAATCCACCCCTTTTTAGTTCGGGTGCCACTTGTAGAGTCGTTTAGAATTTTTCGAAGTAAGGAAATCGAAGAAATCCACAATCCCCTTACCGGGCCACCCCGGACCTTCCGTACAAGCTTCGAGCATGCTTCCAGTTACACCGCGAAGACATGCGGAAAGGAGGGAGAAATACCTTTAATATTTAGTCAACATCAATGAGTTTGCTTTAGTTTAATGTGCACAGAGCGTAACTCCTAATTACTCTATCCATGAAGACAACTAAAAGGCTTATTGTACCGCCCTAAACTATCAGTAAAGTAACTTCAACAGTGGAAAACGTTTAAAATAAACATTTTTATTAGTTCGTCAGCCTAGCAGTACATGATGTGAGTGACGAGAAAATAGACCGCGAAACATGCGAGAATAATAGAAACAAAATTAAAGTGAATCATTATGCATTAAAATTTGAGATTTACAAGACAAAGAGCACCCACAGTCTTGTACATGCCACAAGATTTACAAGACAAAAGGCTGCAGGTCTTCAAACTAAGTGAGCAGTTTTGTGTGGCAATTCTAAAGTCGATTCAAGTAATTCAGAAGCTGCGAGAGAATAATAGTGAAACATTTTACGGTTGCTGCCAAAATCTCTCTTTTAAATTCCAAAACTTTGTACCGATTAACATTAAGATCTGCCTTCTGACAAGAGCCTATGAAAGTAGAAACAACAGAAAAAGCAACAATAATAGGATAAATGGTTAATAAGAACAAAACTTTATAATAGAAAGAATATATTTCTCATCTTTCATGTATATTTCTTAAATTGTCTGATTTTTAAATGTAGTCACTATAATCAAAAGGCTTTTCATTTTATAGTCTTATTTTGATTCCCCAAGAAATTCCGGAAGCTTTGTCGGAAACTGCTTGAAGATTCATCAAAAATAGACTAAGAAGCAATCTTTAAAATACAGAAAATATCAAAGAAAAGCAAGATTCCATTTAAAAATTCATAAAAGGTTTAAGATATGACAAATAAATATGTTTATAATTTTGATAATTATCTTTTAAATAGAACACCTGTAACTGATTTGACAATTTGTCTTATTCTACGCGGAAACACTCGAAATTAACTCTCTGTAAGCACTTGATCACCTTTTAAATGTTGCATATAAAACATTATTAAATACTACTGAAAGATGCGCATGTATAAATCTATGCATATCTATAAATCTATGCATATTAATTTATCTATGCATCTATAAATATTAATTTATATATTTATTTATTATAGATGTCTCAGATCATGAATGATTGCGCGAAAACTGTATTACATACGCTGGAAAAACATGCTGTAAGTAAAGAGCCAGTTGATTGCAAAAGGTAAGTTATAGTTCCTTTGTGGTTATGGTTATGTGTGTTATGTTGTCCAAGTCTTGAAGGTTTCCCGCAGAATCAAATTCACAAAGTTAAGAGAAAATTTTATAACCCCTCATTTAAATACCAAGTTTTGGGCTCAGACCGCCCTACCCACACGGAGCCGAATAAAATACCATCTATCTCTATATAAATCCCCGTGAATCTATGTATTCACAGGAACCACATCAACAGCTTTTCAAATGCCCGAACCTCAGTCAACTAAGGACAGATGTCCAGCAATTGAAATTAACGACGACAGCTAAATGTATCCCGTTTACTTGGAGCAGATGCCAGAGCTGTGTGTGTTGGAGATGATACCTCCCTCTCAGCTATAGCACTTCATATCCAACGATGTCTCTGTGTATGGCAAACATGTGAGTAATTTAAGTAGTTTTCCAGTAAAGCCCTATCTGTTGGAGCGTTTTTCATTTTGGCATATTTCTTCGACACCAGATGTTGCAAGTTTCGTTGCTTCTTTCGTGGGTATAACTATCTTTGTAATCATCGCTCGGGTTACCACGTTTTATAGTTAATCTTTCTGTATGAGAATTTCCAAGAGAAGACAGACAAACTATCCTGTTTCTTCAAGAAAGATGTTATTTATAAAGAAAGGTTGCGAACCACCTCATGAATTTTAAATGCGCTCAAATCCGTAATGGCTGCTCAGCCTTCATTCATGCCGAGAAAAAAAAAAAGGTGTTCGAACAGAAACATGGTTTAGTGGATTCTTTTCATTACTGCAGTACGATTCATTAACTTATGGGATCAGGAGCAGAGTTACACAATTCTCTCCGGAAGTGATTCAAAGAACCCAATCACTTGACTTAGCGAATGGATATCAATTCTATAAAATAGAATGGTACTGTTTTACACCTCACAGTGAAATCTTGTTGAAAGTGTGCCAGAAAGAGTAATGTGCTATCTATTTACAAACTGATTAATCTTACAGAGCGAGCAAACCTTTATTCGCGAAAAAAAAGGCGGAGCTCTTTTAAAGATCAGTTTTTGAGAGCTCTTACTGAAAGAGTTCCAGGAAAGTGCTATTCCGATATTTCAGGAGAAAAGAATTGTTATTCTCCCATATTGAAAGTGCGTTTAATTATTATTATTTTCTACTTTCGAAAATTTGTTATTCTTGAATTTTATTGCAAATTCTATGTAGAATAAGGGCTTTAAAGAATATTAAAACTGCAGTTGAAAGACATCAGTTCAGAGAGTTTGATTCAGAGAGTCTTACCATTCTTCTTGCTTTTCGCTCCAGTCTTGCTAACTGTTCCAGAACCCTTTGCTCGTTCAATTCTTTTCGCTCTTCTCTTCATCTTCGCTAACCTCTCTTGATTCATTTCTTCTTCCAATGTCTTTCGTAAGGTGAGTCGTCAAGCTGAGTCAATGTGAGAGGTAGTCATATAAAGAACTGATTCAGTTCAGTGAGCATCTCTAGTAAGGCGTCAACATCTATTGAGTTTTCAGCATCGAAGCTTGTTTTAAATGGATCACAAAGTCGCTGTTGATTGAAAGAAATACATATGAGAGTTAAGAGCCAATACTTTGTTACAACTGTGTAAAAATACCTTGTTACAACTGAAAAAGCTAATACCTCGTTACAACTGCAAAAACAAATGTGTAAACTGATAAAAGCATATTCACAAAAAGATAAAAAATTACGTTGACCATATTATTCTCCCACAATGAGGTTATGGTGGATTTTCTAGTAAAAGCGGTGTATGCTTTCTGTTTGTGTTCCCGATCAGTCCATTTCGTTTAGCATCAGGTTAAAGGAGTGTGGTATAAAGTAAGCCGAATTGCTTCAGTATAAGGCGAAAATACTGGGCACGGTTTTTTATAAGTATCATAATTTAATCGCTATGGGAAGTGGTAAAAGCAAACAAGAGTGGTAAAAGCATTCCATGCTTAGAGTTGTCACCTAGGAAACACAGACTAATCTTAAAGGAAACTACAGTTGACAATTGACATGGTAGAATGATGGAGACACCATTAGGGATTAGATGGTATTGTCTTGCATACCTTCATATCTAGCCAGGGAATGGAACTATTCGACGTGGCCGTTTCGCCGTCAAGACATATTTTTGTTTACATGACTGTATTATATCTTGCCGTATTACATTCATTTAATTTAATAATTCTGGTTAGTTTAATAATTTAATTTAATAAACATTTTATATAAAATAATGTATAAGATGTTTTCGTGTAAAATTTTATACAGATACATCGTTACACATGGCATATTAATTTTAAGAGAGTAATGTGCTGACATGATTCCAATGTAATTCCGTTTCCTATTTAGATTTCATAAAAATATTAATTTTCTGCTTGTATGAGTGATTTCTCTGAACTAGCTTATTAAAATTTCAAGAAAATTTGACGAATCACGTAAATATTACACTTGCATAATTTTAAAACCGATAATATAACTTCTGTTATATCAGAGGTTTAGCCTCAGTTCTCTCTTTGATACTGACATAACTTCCCAACTAACTATGTCTAATTTCTTTACATCTTATACTTGTAAATAACTATATATAATACAAGCAGCCTTTTTTAAATATACAAAAGGTAAACAGAATTATTAAACTAAACAAATTTAATATGAGCATAATACGGCAAGATATAATACAGTCATGTAAAGAAAATATGTCTTGAAGGCTAAACGGCCACAGTGAAATGGTGCTGACGAAAAGTCCTAGACACTCTAGCAACAAGGAGATGCATCAAATAACATGGTACGATATTGTTGCCGTTATGGCTCAGGACAAAATTATATAATTTACGTAATTATTACATTATTTCAGATACTCAAATTACTTTACAGCAGAACACAGAATAGTACATGTTACAAATAAACTTTACAAAAAAAGACAAAAAAAAAACGTGGTTGTACATAGTAAGTGCTGATTGTGGATAATGTTATATAGAAAACATTTATTTTTAAATACTTTTAACTTTAACTTTGAACTTTGGTGCCGGACAAAATTACTAAAATTAAAATAATTCAAAACATTCAAAAGCTATTTCATTATATTCATATATCATTTCGACATTCTTATAAATATTCGTATAGTAAATCTATCGGGTTTTCTTCCGGAGAGGATCCGTTGGCGCTTCGGCAGAGGATCCGTTGGCGGCGAAGCGTATTTACTCGCCAAGCTCGTCAACGGCTAATCGGCCATGAGTTTAGCGGTGTACAGTTACGTTACAAGATATTTAAAAAGGTTAACCGTAATACAAACCGTAAACTGAAAATCGTTAATAGCAATGAAAGGACTAGATATTATGTTCCCATAGATCCCCTAACTCCATATTCCCTCTGTCTTGCAGTATGCCATTTCCTGTTTGTAATAAAAAACAGCCTGTTAACGAATTTCCGCGAAATGCTTTTTAGGTTTGCGTTGTGAGTAACCTATGTAAAGGGAAAATCAATAACTCCAAATTCAATTAAACTCCATGTTTCTTAAAAGCCTCCCGGCTCAAACAAATGGAGGGACATGACAGACCACATTAAATTATACGCAGCATAAATACACAAATGCCATTAAATTTTAAACACACATTTATTAAATTCTTGACTATTTTATATAATTAAATAATGGATAACTGATCAGTATCCTACCACATATTTTCCAAGTCAAAATAACACATAATACTACACCAAATTACAGCTTACATTAATTAAGATTAACATTTTTTTTTTAAATTAGGTGTAACAAAATTTAATCCTCCAAATAACAGGTTCTTATTAATTAGAAAGTAACGTTTTTCTAGCTCACAAAATTCAGCAGGTGAAACAAATTTTAATCCTCCCAAAACTGGCTTTCACTTGAAATTATAAATAAGTTCTCAATTTTTTAACTGTAATATTTAATTTATATAAGCAATAACAATATACTGGTAGATAAATCACTATTAACTGTTCTGCATTCGGGAAAACTAAGAAAGAGAGAGAGAGAGAATATATACTTAAAAAAAAATTTCACTCACAGATTTGGAAAACAGTTTTTCCTGATTATCCGGATCCTTAGTGTCCAATCCACATGGAAATGAGCCAAGCCCATTTTTCTTTACTGTCCATTAGGTGGGAACCAATAGTCCAATTTAGACGGATCTTTTTTCAATTCAATAACAGGTAGCTGAATATACACCAGTTTTTTAGCACAATCACGTGCATCATCGAAGCGTCGAGGCAACATTTATGCTGAATGTTTCGGGAAAAGGCTCTTGGAGATTAACCGGCGATTCAGGTGAAGAGAGAAAACCTGTGCTAAATTTTCTTGGTAGATTTTTCTCTATACTTCTCAATCAGCTCTCAGTAAAAATGCTCTTTGCAGCTCTCACACAGTTCTCCATACATCACGCAGGAAAATGTTCCTTGCATCTCGCACAAAACTTTTAAATATCCCGCAGAAAAAGAATTCTCTAGAGCAAAGAAAACGGTACCCAGTCCCTCTTTGCACAGGAAGGCCCGCAGCAGAGCAAAGCGCCCCACGATCTTTCTTTCTCTTTCACATCGCGGCTGCCTCAAAATTCACTCAAATCCAAACTCCGCTAACAACACATCACCGCAGCCCGCTTGTACATGTAGCTCGCCCAGCAAAGGGGGAGCCCCGCAAAACCTTTCTGCTTCTCCTTTCCTTTTCGCTCAGAAATCTCAATCAGAAAAAACTCTAGCCTGGTGCAAGCACCCAGGAAAACTCGGTTTCTTCGCCTATGTGAGTTCATAGGCTTTCAAAAATATCATAAAATTATATCTTACCAATCCCGGAATTTTATGTTATCTAAATTGAGAAAATGACACACCCATGACGAATCAAACACCAGAAAATCTGACAATGCAATCCGAAAAACAACTGCACATATAACGTGAGAAAAAAAAATAGACCCCCCAACTAACAAGCGAAACTAGCCTTTACGAGTAACCAATTGTCTAACTTAGTACACCTCCCACTGTCTTGAAGTAAGAAGACTGCAAACTTTAACAAAGCGATTTCCGTTTCCCACGCATTAGCTGAAAAGACCCTACTGCCTCCATTGTTAGTAGGAAAAGGCTATAACCAATAAATCAGATGTGTTTCCTTGCAACGGTCTCTCGCCTTTGTTACAATTCCTACTCAAGAATAATGAGTTAAATAAAACCTTAAGAGCTTAAGAATACTTTTTTCCAGATTAAAATACACATGAATACAAATAAAAATGTTAGAATAATAATAACTTAAAACACATATTAGTAATTGAAATTCTCGACACAACAATAATGAATACTTCCTGATGTTGCCTCCATGGCTGATCTGTCAGCAATTTCATTTCCGCTCACCCCAGCATGCGCTTTCACCTTGGAGAGCGTAATGTTATGATTTTGATGCCTCCGTAAATCTCTCTGAATTTGTGTAACTATAGGAGATGTGTGTTGATGGTCGAGTATGGACAGAAACACCGGCATGTTGTTCGTGTGGATGATAATGTTCCATAGGTTTTGCTGAGTGATGTACTGGATAGCTCTGGAAATAGCTGCAGCTTCTAAGAGGAAACTACAACAAGGAAGGAAAAATGTGGAAAGAAGTAGTCAAGAATAAGGGGTAAACGGAAAGGAATAAAACTTACTAGGGCTCCAGGACTGTTATGTCCATGTTCATTAAGAAGGAAGCAATTCTCTAAGTGATAAAGAGCAGTAATACAACGTTTTAAAGCTAAAAGGCAAAATTTCTTCAGCCACACATTCACGAAAAAAAAAAATTACTTACGATAGGAACACCGCTGATTACTACATAACACTAAAAGAAGTTTGTCACATTAACATCATAAAAGGCTTGAATTATAAATATTAAGATAGAAATTAATTAGGAAATTAGGAAGGACATTTTTTAATTTCCTAATTAATTAGGAAAATTAAAAAATTTCCTTTCTCTTCTTACATTTACTGTTATCAACTCAGAAACTAAATCTATACTTTTGAGTAAAATTATAACTTCACTCAAAATAAATTCTCAATATTAGAAACTTCGGCGCGTATTGTCATATTTCATTTTGCGGTTATAAATGACATAAGGAGAAAATTATTTAAAAAAATTACATTATCATTTAAGAAAATCAATACAGAGAGGACTGTAATTTATAATTAATACAAAGTTTCATCCCAATTCTGTTTTGTTTTGGTTGAAATAATAAATTTTGCGACTGCGGTATTAGAGGATATTAGAAACGTAATTTATTTATCTTACTTCTAGTATAAAGTAATATTCCTTGCGTTCCTTGCAAAACGCTATTATAATGTATAAATAAGTTAACGTTTTTAATTAATAACTTTCTTATATGTCTTAATAATATCTAATATATGTAAAATAGTTTACCTTTCATTGATTAGTAATAATGGAACCTGGTTTCTGATCTTTGTTTGTAAAAGATAGTGTGACAAAAAAAAAAAAAAAAAAAAAAAAAAAAAAAAAAAAGGATAGTTCTATATCTCCCGTTCTACTGGGTTGACTCACGAAACAACTCAAATTGCGTTTTTCATGTCTCGAAAGAGTGACTTCGGATTTATATTAGATTTATATTAGCACCGTTCCAATATAGGTATTTTGACACAAAATCGGGCTTTTTCTGAAATGACATTGCAATTGTTTTCCGTATTTCGGTTCTACGACTCAAATTATGCCTTATTCAATTTTGTAAAATTTGGAACGAAATTTATGGAGACATTTAAAACTTTATCTAGGCACAATTTTTCCATTTGCGCCAAGATTAATTCACTTGGCGGACATCTTAATTTATAACAACCTATTTTCCTTTCCTTTTTTTTCATTGCAAACATGTGGGAAAAAGTCATCGTTCATTATTTCAAATAATTTTAACAAGTCGAGTAACCAAATTTGGTGTTATTATAGTTTAGAACGTATGGCAACTTTCAAAACGCGCCACTATGTAAATTCACGTATTTCCTAGGAAGTTTTAAATAAAAAGCGCGAATTTTTCCAGATATACTTATGAATATATCTACTTTAAGACGATGGTAAAACTTTTATAGGTTATAATTCAAAATTGTTTTGGAAAAATTTATAAAAATTATTTAAAAATACAAATTTAAAAAATAAATCACAAACAATGAGTAAATTTTATTTGGAATGAACCTAAATCTCGAATTTGGGAAGAAGGATTCAAGAAAGTTTAATAAAAAAGAGATCTTAATAAATATATATCAAATTCAATTAACACTGAGGAGCTAAAATTTTGAGAGCTAATTTTTAAACCACTACTCGTGCGATTTTTACAAAACTTGGCATATTGGCATAATTTGAGACGTAGAATTGAAATATGGAAAAACTGCCATGTCATTTCAGAAAAGTCCGATTTTGTGTCAAGATACCTATATTAGAACAATAATGCTATGTATAAATTGTAATACGTATCCTAAATCGCGCTTTCGAGGCATGAAAAACGCAATTTGAATTTTATCAATCGGTCCAGTATAACGGGAGATATAGAATTGTCCCTATTTGCATTTTTTTTCGCAATGTATCTCTAATTGAAAATATCAAAAAAATTCCTGAAGAGAACTTTTCAAGATCAGTTCTTATATATTTTATTATTATTTTACAGTAGATGATAATAATAGAACAATTTTACATATTTTATGGGCTAGAAGCTACATCTAATTGGAATTAAATATCATTTGTAGGGTTTCAACGTGACATTTCAATTGATGAAAAAAGAAAAAAGGCCAGCTAATTTTTTAGTATGTTAGGTCAACAAGCAGGTTTAATGAAAAATAACGCTTTTAAATTTCGGCAGTAACTGCAGATGTGAAATATGTTGTAAATTGTTATATATTTTACATGTATTTATTGCAGGTTATTTGGTGCTTTCACTATGGACGTCATTGCCACTTCAGCTTTTGCAACGAAGATTGATTCTCACAACGATCCTGATAATATCTTCGTGAAGAACGTAAGAAAAGCGTTTGGAGAATTTACCGGCTTACGGCTTTTAGTTGTTTGTAAGTATTTACAAGAGCAATTAGCTGTATAATGAAAAACATGTTGTGTAATTCTAGTGAATAGGTAAACACATACCCAGTATGTCGAAATATTTTAGCTCAACAATTTCATTCAATTTCATTCCTTAAAATGTTCCATAAATTGCCAGTGAAATCAAAAGTGTTTGATCTTTCTCTCTGAAACGAATTCTTGCTTTTAATTTTCTGAACTTTACATATTAAAGAAGTATGTTTTCGAGAATTTAATACTAAATAACGATAGAGAAATAATATTACATAAGTTTTTCAAGTAACATAAGTAACTAGTAATAAGCGTTTCGAATGTGTCGCCATACTTCCTATTTCAGCTTTTAGTAAGAAAACAATATCCAGGATCATAAGCTATTGCCCAGATACAAAAAGGAAACATTCGAGAGAGGATATGAAATAAAATATTCTACACTTTCTGTTCAAGAGAAAACGAAACTGAACCAACTAACAAATCTAGTTCTTTAAAGCAAAATAAGCTCTAGTATTTGTATAATTAACCAAAAGGTTCGAGCATTTCAACATGGCAAAGCACAAAAAGCTATCGGCCTAAATGAAGGGTTTGGTTTGGTTTGTTTACTTAATTATGGCAAAGCACATTATGGCTATCTGCTTAAGAGAAGGGATGCCTTCGTGGAGGACTTTCTGAGGGAAACTAACTCGTATACACGTTACACATCCTAAATGAAGGGATACCTTCATGCAGACCTTTCTAAGCGCAAACAGACTCGTATTCACGTTATACGCATAAGGAAAAACACTCAAACCAACCATACAAGTATTAGCCTGATCACCTGGATGAAATCAGAATTGAACACGCAGGATTTAACGGTTTTCACCTCTCAACAACTTAGGAGGGGGAAGTTAGTTTATTTCAGTGCTCATCTAGAATGAAACCCGGGTCAAACTTCCAGTATTTTTCCAGTATCGAACTTCCAGTATTCAGTCTGTTATGGGTCCTTAACCAAGAAAGAACTAATTCTGTTTGAAAATTCTAGTTAGTAGACTGAAAAAAATTTTGAATAATTCTGGCAACAAAAAGTTCCTGTACTATGATGTATTAACGGAAACGACCTATTCTATCAGAATCTCTCTCTACGTCACACAACCTCGCGATGTCCTTGTTGCAAACTTGCCTAAACTTTAGCATCATTCGTATTTCATGGTCTGACGAATGCACAATCCCTAAAATGCATACATGGAATGCTATATACTATAGCATATTTTTATGGACTAAATAATTTGGGATCAAACTATTTGAGTTCATGAACCCAGCCGCACCATGTTCGCCTGACACACCAGTGTATGTTTAATGAAATTTTTCTAAACATAAGTTTAATGTTCTTATGTGATATTTCTTGACATGAAATCGCGATTGGCTGTTACCTACCATATTTGCATACTTCCATCTACCTCTGCAGCGAATTGCATCCTCTTCAATTCTAATTGGCTTCCGGAAATTAGCATTTTCCTCTCCGTGCTTAACTTTTGGAAGTGAGTGTATATCGAGAAGACGTTACTCAGTTAAAATGTTTTGAAACTAGACAAGAAAAAAATACCTAAACTACACTTAAATTGATCACTGTCCCCTTTTCGAAAACCCTTTATACCACTTCCAAAGCTTTTACTTTTGCTCCTTTTTGAAAGTCTCATTTTTTCATTGTGCCAATACTATCTGCGATTCGCTCTGAATGCTTTTATGGTATTAAAAAGTGAAGCAATCCTACAGAGTTAAATCTGACTCGTAAAGGGACGAAGAATATAATCTTCGGTATGACCTAAAAGCTCTTTCTGTTTAAATTTTGAGTTAGCGAATGTATTTTCATGTTAGTCGCAATTAAAGCCGTATGCACATCCTTAGCCTGCGATAGCAACCCTAGCTTAACGTGCAAAGCCTACGATAAAACGTCATATTAATAATCTGATCTATGGAATGAATTGTAAATGTACAAATCTGTGATTATAAAAATAATTTAATTATTTTAATACAACTGAAGCTCAAAAACATTAAAACAAATGTAATTATTTTTAAAAAATTGTGCCCAGTTGAATATTTTAAAATTTAGTAAAATACTTTTAGATTGTCTGCAACTGTTTATACTTGATTAGTAAAAATTACTGGCATATTAAAGAAAACAAAATACTGGCATATTAATGTATCCCACTATCAAGATCACAAATAGTAAGACTACAAAATGTAGTCTTACCATTTGTGATCTTGAGAGAGGGATACCTGAGAAATTACGGCAAGAAGTCATTAAAGCGAAATGGAAACTGAACAAATATGCATGAAGCGCTTAGGATGGTCTTATGCTTGTAGCCACTAACACGATAGAGACAAAATTTCCACTATGCAATTCTTATTATTACAGTTAATAGAAAAATGAAGAATTGCTATTCCTTGCGCTTTTATTCCCTGATATTAGTAAATTCTTTAAATAAATAGAATTACGAACTTTCGATTTTAATCTGTTTAATAAATGTATGCTAATTCCAATGTACGCTTATCAAATCTTTCAGTCTTATTACCAAATTGGTTGAGATTGGCGCTAGGATTCAAAGGTCTACCAACAGGGGACTTTTTCCGAAATGTAACCTTGGAAGTGATCAAAGAAAGGAAGCAAAAGGGTTACGTAAGTAGAACTTCCTATCCTAGTTTTCAAAAAAGAAAAAAGAATTCAGAATTTTAGAATATCAAGTAATTTATATATGCTTCTACACAGGAGATTAAAACTGTACATGCATATAATTTTAATAAAAAGCAACTTTCTTAAAATCTGATTTTACCATTCGTATATAAAAATAATTTATTTTGCGCAAATGCAACAATAAACTGGAAAATTACTTAAAAATATTATGCATATATAAAGAAAGATAAGTATATATATATATATATATATATATATATATATATATATATACTGAGTATACAGAAACAAAGAACGTTCTGGGGAACAGGTGTTGTCACTGAATGGCTGACCTCCTCTTGACAAAGGAAATGTCAGAGAGTGGTAATAGATGTCAGAGATAGTAGTAGTGGTAATAGATGTCAGAATATAATGTCAGAGAGTGGTAGCTTTTCCGTATGTATTTTTACTTTTATTTTTATTTCCACTTCCTGTATTCTTTTTGATCTTCCAAATTTTTCCAATTTTAATTTTGACTAAAGTGAAATGTTTTTATAACTTTAACCATTAAAGTATCATTACATTATTTTCTTGTTAAATTTCTTTTACCAGTTTAGTTATAATTATTTTTACTTTGGGTGGTAAATATATATATATATATATATATATATTCAAAATAAGTAAATTAAAAAGCCTAAAACTTGCGCTAGAGCTGCAAAGTAATAAACCAATAATTCATAATAATTTACAATAAGAAATCTTTTCATATACCATCTCCAAGGAATATAAATTAAATTTAAAATTTAAAACCAGAAAAAATTACTTGTTGTTAATTGATGGTAGATTGGTTTATCCCCTTGAAAAATCGATTAATCTGCGATCAATGACAATAGCTGCTTATTCAAAATTTAAAATTTATTTTTGCGATTAAAGACTTTTCTTAGCCGATTTGTAAACAAAATTGAAATTACTATTTAAAATGTTTTTCATGGTTTTAAATTTTTAATTTAATTTATATTTCTTGAAGATGGTATATGGAAATATATATATATATCATAATCGGCCGCCGTAGTGGCTTGGGGCGCCGCCTGGTCACCAGTGCGTAAGAAGATCGCGTAATTAGAACAGCTGCGACGTCAGCACCAGTAGTTACCTTATCGTCGATTCAACGCCATTTGCCAATTCGAAGAGTTTTCAGGATATCCAGAGCTGCGCGCAGCTCTGGATATCCTGAAATCGCAGCTAGGTGAAACTGTGTTTAGATTTCGACTTTCATTAAGACGCTTGTCGTTTACACTCTACCATAAGCAGTGTCCTCTTACATGGTGCCGCTCTCGTTGAGCGATGAATCACGCTTTTCTCTACATGCTGACGACCGCCACATACGTGTCTGCAGACGGAGAGGTAAGCGGTCCAGTGTACCATTTGTTACCGAGCGGCATACAGCTAGGGCATACATAGGGTATGATAGTTTGCGGAACGATCAGCTGAGACAGCCGTTCACAATTAGTCGTGCTGCGAGGTAATATGACTGCTCGCAGGTACTTAGACGATATTTTACAGCTGATCGTAGTGTCTATGCTAGCAGGTCATCCAGTGCCTGTTTTCCAACAATTGCTTGGGCTTACCTAATGTCCTCGACTGGCCTGCCATGTTTCCAGAAATATCGCCTATCGAACATGTTTGATACACAGTGGGCACGCAAATTCAGCCGTGTACAAATACGTCTCAACTCGCTGACCATTTGAAACTGATACCAAACTAAGTTCAGCCAATTATCATCTTAATTTTCAGATTTCCAGGCACACTGGGATAAATTCCTTGTAAATAACATACTCTTTAATTATACATTAAGATAATTTCGTATACTCATTGGTTTTTTTTAAAAAGAATATCTCAGGCATTTTAAAGAAGTGAAGCGGGAAGATATTAGCAATGTAAAAGCTAGCAGATGAATGACGTAATTAGCTCGCTAGAGGTATTTATACCAAAGTAAGTGCGATTCTAGAGACAAGCTGTGGTTGGTTAATATTAGTTTTAGTTGCCCTTTTCCAGTAGCTTTATATAGCGGAGAAAGATCTCGAATTTGGGAAAACAGATGAATTTAGGGGGAGATCACCAAATCTAGAATGTTAATTTTGAGGTCACCAATTATTTTTAAAGCAGCTTTCGTATTTTGTTATATCTTACATATGTATATATATATATATATATAATGTTGTATGATCTTAAATTCATTTAGTGCGAAAACAAGTTACTACTACTTGCGCAATTGCTGCAAAGTAAGTTAATAATAATTTATTTACTAAATAATATTGATTAATTGATTATATTATCTCCTAAGTTTAATTATAGTAGGATTATCTTAAAAGAGTGAATCCATACTAGTAAGTTATATTTTGAAAGATGTTTTGAAGTAACATGAAAGTAAAAGGTTAAAAATGTTTTAACGGGGACTGGAATTAAATCATGAATAACAAAATTTCAATTGTAAAAGGAATAAATTAAAGGCAAGAATTAAATTAAATGCATGTAATCATTGTCATTGATCGGAAATTAGTTGACTTTTCAAGGGGAACAAACGAACTCCCGTTCAATGAACAGTAATTAATAAATAAATACGAAGGTGTTTCGTCTTTACTCGAGCAATAATGCTAAGCCAAATCGGCAATTCAAGTCAGGTCAAATATTTCCGTGAATAGAAGGGATTATGAACCAATGCTGATATTCAAAGAACTTATTCCTATTAAGCATTTTAGCCAATTCAATTTTGAGTGAAAAGCAATTTTTGCAGTAAATTTCGATAATGCTCGAGAAACCGTCCCCGACAGCCCCGTGTTTATGCATTTGAGTTCAATATTATTTGTAAAAATTAAACATTGGAAATTGTCATTATGAAATAGAATTCAAAGTAGTTGAAAGAAAACTAGTATGGAGATAATATAATCAATTAATCAATATTTAGTAATTAAATTATATATATGTGTGTGTGTGTGCGTAAGTACATAATGATATATATGCATATAAAAAGAAAGAAATTCTTGGCGCGATAGTGACGACGCAACGCTCAAAAAAGAAACGACACAAGCAGCGTAACAAAATATGTTTTAGTATGTTTAATACAGCAGAAAACAACAAATGAGAAAAAAACAATGTTCATTAAAGAAGGTAATAGAAATTACTATCCCAGTTCGTGATGCGGTCCTCACATCCCGTCGTATGAAAGATCTGCTCATGCATGAAAATCGCATGGAAGATGGGTGACAAAAAATTTAAAGATTTTAAACTAATTTCTAAAACCTAATTTCAATTTTTCACAAAATTAAAATACTTTTATTAAATTTTTTTTAAATATTTTTTTATAAAATCTAATTTTATTTCATTTTTAGTTTTTCAGAACTTTTCACAAATGTAAACATTATTCCAAATTTGCTAATTTATAACTTCTTAACTCTAAATGTTACCGTTGGGATTTTGTTTACAACTTTTTATTGAAAACCTCCTATTCCAGAAGCATTTTTTTTTTCTTCAGGATACGGCCGCTAACTGCACGCAACCAAGAGGTGACTGTGAAAAGCTTGTATAAAAGACAGAGTCTTGTTAAGGGTTTAAGTCCCTTTTTATTCAACGTAATAAATTACAATTGCGTGCTCTTGACGCTCACAAACTACGCCAACTCGGCGGTCAAATAAAAATAATAACCTGAAAAGAAATAAAGACAAGACTCTAACTACGAGGCTCTCTAAAATAACTAACCTCACCGCGTTTTACAATACCGCTGCTAATTCAGCAGAACTTGAAGCTCACTTGAACGATTAACACTACTTCCGAGGCAAGCACACAGGCCGAAACGCGGGGTTCTTCAATTTCTGGCTAACTACCTCCGCGCTCGTGAAGTAAGAAATCTCACACCGAACTCGTTTCCTTTCTATTTAAATCAGAATACTTCCGCTGATAATTTGAATCCTTGCGCGTTCTACTAAAATTTACATATTCTGGCATTGGCAGTTCCAGGGGAAAGTAAGGCTTGACAGGAAAGATAGTTTAAACTTAAAATAAATGTTAGATAAACCCTACATTTGCCGCTGCCAGAATTTGGAAAACTTGGAAGCAGGTCCTACAAACGACCTGTTGTAAGTTTCTATCTAATTCTGAACTAACTGGCGAAAGCCTCGTTTACACAAAAAAAATCTTATGTAACAAATGTATACTAAAATTCTGTGTATACTTATAAAGCTTCTCTTCTTACAGCAACTTTTCCTGGACTTCATCAATCAATCTTGGTCTTTTCCTTCCAGCATCTGGAAGGAATAAGTATCAGTATCTTTCTACATACATTATAATTTACACTTTCTTGACACAATAAATTTTTGTTTTTAAACGATTCGTTTTTCCTTAGTTATTGCTTAACTTCACATTCATTCAATTTTTCAAGCATTAATTTAACTTTACCCTGGCTCTCCACCATGTGTGTGGTGTCAAACGGGAATATTCGTGTTTTAGTCTTACAACACTTCCCCTAACCACCATGATTTGTTAGAATTCAACGACCAAATAGACACACCTTACTCGACATTCTACAACTCAATGAGCTCAACTCGATGAGCTACTTTAACATTCTTAAAAAAAAGTGGAGGTGGAGAACCCTACAAAACACATTCATTCTAACTTCCCCCTCATTCATCTTTAAACATGCAGGCTTTCGCTCTAAAGCATGACTTTATCTACAGTTTAATACTTAAATTTTGAGTTCATTCCTTTTAAGCATTTTACTTTTAGCATCTAAAATTTTATGCTTCTAGACTAAATTCTACTTTTACATAACATTCAAGTATTTACGTACATTTACAAAATTTTAATACATATGATTTTTACAATTTACCATAAAATGAATAAGAGAAAATAAATTTTTACTTTACTCATTCTTCGCCAAGCTGGCGGCACTGAAACTAAAATTCTTATTAATACAAGAATACGAAGTTATTTTTATCTTCGGCCAAATTTTG